AACAACAAACTGACCATATGATTCTGAAAAAGCAGAGTTTCTAACATGTAACAACTAAATGGCTTTACACATTTCACTGATATACACAGTAGGCCTTTGTTATAGTAGCTAATAAAGAAAGATTCACATTGCACTGGCTTACTCGGATGCAGATGAGTTGGGCACCACTGAAAATTGTTCAAACATTTTATGTAAGTGTTAAGAGCTTCATACTACAGTGTTCTAATTAAAGCCGTATTAGTATTGTACTCAAATTTTTATTTACTTTTAATTAGCATTTAAATGGGAAGAGTGCATACCCTGGACACATTAGACAGGAAATGGCAGTCTTTGTCCTGAAATCAGCACAAAATGGATAGGTGCTTGAATATGGGAGAAACCTGGCATTCGAGCATCTCCCAGTTACACTGTTGGCCCAGCATCCCCGACAGTTGTTACTTCAGCATTATTCCTTCTCCATTCCTCATCTTTAAAATAGTTACCTATTTAAGCTGTTTTAACTTCAGTGCTTGCAAGTTCTGGGAAAGGAATATGCACTCAAGCGGAATCTCTCTTTCGGACTGTGTGTGTCCTGCAGTGGCAGGTGCGCCCGTTAAGCGGTGCTGGGCCTAGGCACACCTTGGCTCTGTAGCTCACTGTGAAGTGAGAGGCTGACAACCTGACAAGCCTGCCAACAGAACGAGGGGGCCCTGGAGTCAGCCACGTCTGCATGACCTGGAACTGTGGTATCTGGAGGACCTTCTTCGCCTTTATGTTCCCACCCAGCAACTAAAATCACAGGGAGAGGCCCTCCTGAGTGTCCCACCAATCAGACACGCTCACCTGGGGGGGCACACGAGAGAGGGCCTTTTTGGTGGCAGCCCCGTGATTATGGAACAAGCTCCCCAGGGAGGTGGGCCTGCCCCCCCCACACACACACTTCCAGTCTTCAGGAAGCAGCTGAAAATAGTTTTACCTAGGACAGCATTTGACACATTTAGTTTTTATTTATTGGCAGTCCTAATTGTGATTTTAAACTGTGGTCTTTTATGGTGTGTTTTTTTTTAATGTTGTTTTATTTATATTGCAAGCCACCTTGAGGTCCTCAAGGTAGAAATGAATGTTTTAAATAAATAAGTATAAACTCATTTGCATTTACATGTATGTTGATGCAAAATTTACTAAGAGACAGTAAAGAAACAGATCAGCCACTTTGATTTTAAGCAGGTGGATTAATTCAAAATCACTAACAAGACAGATTTATATAAGTGATTCAAAGTAGTTTCTCATTTTGAAATCCATATATTTCCTGTACAAGCAAGCACGCTAACCTCCCCCACCGCTCCCAAGGAAACCCCAAAGAACAGCACAAGGGGAGAGTTGGGGGTCGGCAGCAAGACCAGAGCAAGGAATCTACAAAAATCCCGGCCCTCTCCTTCCCTTCATGGAATTCCTCCAGGTTGGACACCCAATACAGTTTTCATTAACCTCTGAAATCAGATTTTTTTTTTTTTTTAATTGCCCTTATGGATTTGTTTTGCACAAAGAGCTATCTTTGGTTTAATATTTGGTTTATTCTGCAGTCTTAAGAAATGAGTGATGTTTATTTAGACTTCTTTTATTTTGCCCCACTTATCTCCACGGAGATCAGGGTGGTGAAAACCCTACAGAGAGTGTGACTGGCCCAAGATCACCCAGTGAACCTCATGGCAGAGCAGGGACCTGAACTCAGGCCTCAGACCTTCGTTTCACCCTCTGACCACACCACAGTGGCTCTCAATAAAAGCTTTCAAAAAAAAAAATCAAAGCCTAATTTTCTTCTAATCTATTCTTTAAGAATCTGTTTTTCCCATCCTGACAGAAGAGCTAATAATTCAGGAAGCACCACTGTCTTCAAGAGAAATTCACAACAGAGGATTTCACCTAAAAGGATCACTTCCCTTCCATTGCTACCGTATGTCATTGCTAAGCACAGAACAGCCCCACAGATGTTAACTGTTATTTAACTTAGGATGGCTTCTTTCACTTGGCGCATAAGGTCAGCATTATTTTATGTAACATCGCTTCCAAGCAAAGATACCAGTGCCTTTTTCTAACATTGCCCTACTGGAAAATGACCATGTCACTTTAAACATGACACTGACGAGCACGGCAAGCAGCACCCCACAGAGTGAAACCTACAGCCTACTTTCTGATCAGTGGCATGTGGACTGCATTCTATGTCAGACCTAATTAGGAGGGCTAAATCAAATGACATAACATAAATGAATTATTTAAGAAAAATGAGACACGTGCGAAGTATTGTCCTGCGTTTAGACATTTTTAGCACAGTGAGGCCAAAGGGGAAAAATAAAGACTACCAGGGAAGAAGCATTTGACTGATTTGGGGACAGGCTTGATTTTCTCCAGATGCAGCATCTACTGAAAATAAAGCTTCCTTCTTCTAGACATGGGGCACAGCAGGTAAGCCCGGCAGAGTCTTGATAACGCTCCAAGAACAGAAATGCGCTAATCAGCATGAAAGCAAAGATTACGTTGAACGGAAAGCTCTCAACCTTACAGTTAAATCAGGGCCACAAGCTTTAACTGATTAATTGGTGTCATTAATCAATGAACGCTTTAATCACGCCTTAAAATTTTCCCCTGATTAATCAGCAGGACTGAGAATAAGAAAAAATTCTGGACTTTTAAAGGGTTCATATTACACAGACGGTAAAAAAAAATAATTAAAACAATTAAATGCGGGTCTTCCGCTAGTTTGTATCTACCCACTTCCGCTAGTTTGTATCTATCCACCCAGGTTAACCTTTTCCCCTCCTCTTCCTGCAGGAGTCTAGCCTGGACATGCCCAGAGTCATTGAGGCCCAGGGCACAAGCCAAAGGGCTCTTGGACCTGAAGGCCCTAGCGAACCTGCATTTGTTTATGTGCTCTTTGTCTATTTGTTTTTCTAATTTGGAAGTTTCCCCTTTTTTTAGAAGCTGCTTTGGGTCCCTCCAGGCAGAAAAGTAGACTAAAAAATAAGATTTTAACCTAGGCCTTCACTAACATGGAATGGCCTTATTTCTAAACGAACTTTTGGCTGTGTTGAAATTGAGAAGACAAGGTGCTTTAAATAAAGATTCATTAAGATTGGCTGATACACGTATTTATTTAAATATAACTGATTAATGAATTAATTGAAGTGTTAAAAAAATCTTATAAAGTCAACAGCCCAGTATTATCGTGCAAAAAATGTTGCAAAAATAATTAAGGAGATGGGGTTGAAGAGACCAACTCACACCACAGTGTCTTACACAAACCCTGGTTAGTCTACCAGCAGGATATAACAGACCCGTTTGCTGATGAACTCAGCCTTTCCTGCTCCTGACTCCAAGCAGAACTGCATTATCCACACTCCCTTGCATCACTGGGCTGCAGGGAAAGCCTCACTCGGTGTAGGAAGACCCCTTCCTCTTGGTCAGCTGCACGAAACGGAAAAAGAACAGGGGGGGGCAGAAGGTGTTTCCTAATCTTTCCCAGCTAAGGACGATCTTCCCCTTCCCCTTCCCATCTACCTACTCCACTGGTTTCCTGACATTTTTAGCACAGAAACAAAATAAAGCTTTGCTGCTAGGCCTCAGAACTTGTATAAAATTCGGCCCTGCACAAAGCACATTCAACTTGAGTGATAAGATTTATTGTAACAAAAATTAAACCGTGCCATTCAGCTCACTAGAAGGCTTTCCACAGATCCTGTACGGTTAGAACGAAGATTGAGGAGATAAAGGTTATTTGGCTTAAATATACGGCAGTTAATTTTAGATAAAGAATAGAGTATATAGAATTTTAAGGATCATTAATGAGAGTGCACATCTTAATGGCGATTCCATTCCGATTGGGATTTGGAGATACGCATGAAGGCGAAAAGGCTATTTTAACTCATGTTGCCAGGGGGAGGGTGTAGGATAAGAGGGGAAAGGATAATTAACTCCTTTGCTTTGGGGAACTCAGATGTTTTTGAACCAAATAACCCTGACAGATGTTCACAAAAATGAATAGTCCCAAACATGGCTAGTTCATATAGGACTCAAGGTCTCTCCAATAATTTCTCTCTGGATAGGAACATGATGACAAAGAGCAGAAGACACAGGGTGATAATCGACACAATATCTTTCTGCAGTCAGGGTGCTTCCCTGAAAAAGAAGCCCCTGAGAGTCAGACGAGGTCCCTTGGCCGATGGCAGCATTTTTGCAAGCTCCGTGATGATCGGGGGAAACAAAGAAACAGAATGTCAGGGCCTCAGCGTCTTCTGGCACTATTCCCTCTTTCTGTGATAGAGAGCTGTGTAGCTTTCAAGTGCAGAAGCACGCAAAAAGAGCAGGCTGGGTGGCTGCTGAATAAATGCAGCAAAACATCATTCCTGAACCCAGTAACCGGGCAAATAATGAGGACCAAAATATTTGCAAAATACTGGTTTTGCGCAAGACCTTTGGATAAAGGAGCATACAGATAAAGAAAAGGAAATGACCAAAATAGGAATTGTAAGAACGTCTCCCTCTTTCCCCTTCCGTCCTTAGGATCTTTACATGGGATTGTGGCTGAGCCACAGACAATGGCTCTCGGTAGCCTGGTGTAATGTCGGCTCCACTAAGAGCATCCTGGGAAGGAAGTAATGCAACCTCCATCCTGTTCCACCAAGTGATCACCAGCAATACCTATCTTGTATTATGCACCTGAGTAAACAGCTGTTCCTTTTGAAACACCACACACACACACACAAACAAACAAACTGCTGCTCCTCTTTCTTGGTTCAAAGCCACAGAGGCATATGAGGAAATAAAGGAAGCCCCTGACCCAAGCTGCCTCCTAGAGAATATTTGTTTTTCTTTACTCCCCTCTCCAGGTCAAGATTTCCTTGGAGCAACCAGAGAGATTACCCGCAGGCCCGATCACTTTATTACCTCATAATGGCTGCTTATTTACTCTGCTGCTGCAGCCCCAACGTGCAAGGGTGAAGCTTCCCACAGCTGGGAAAACTCACCGTACTCCTCCCGAAGGTGGTCTGGAATGCGGGGCTCATAGCCCTCCTTCGCAGGGACGTCCACGAATTCCTCATCATCGCTGCTATCGTCAGAGGCTTTTGTCTACAATAAAGCATCAAAGCACCAAAGCCAAAATGTAAATATACAGCCGAGGGAGGGAAGGACACAAATGCCGCCATCAGAGCAGGCGCCGGCCACTCACTTGGGCATCTGGTCAGTGAAGGGCTGCCAGGCCACCTCAGGTCATCGCCAGCATTACTCCCCACACGGCATTCATTCCATCTTTAAGATGTGCAAAAAACATGCACAAGCCAGGTACAAATATGGAATACATGTTTAAATATACTTTCAGGATCTGTAAAAATTATACTTCACCTACAGTCTGTGCCTTGTCAGGAAAGTGCCAAGAGACTTGAGGATTCCCTCCGCACCCCCCCCCCTCTCCTTGGCCACAGCCAGCCACGTCTCACCTCCTCCACCCGCCAGGGGTGCTTCAGGACCTCAGGCAGAAAAAGGTGTCCCCCCCAGCCCCCGCCACCAGGGCTCCTGGAAGTGGAGACAGCAGGGGCCTAGCGGAGGGCCACCGGCACCCTCAGCCCCTCCTTCCACGAACCCCCCCCTCCTGGCTTTTACAGGGTATGAGGAATATGTACAGCAGGCGCATACCATAAGCAGATACGCGCAGAACAAAAATGCACATTAGAAGTTTAGCATATTCATAAATTCTATGTCCACCACTTATTGCTCTATGAACCTCCCTCTCCCCCCCCCTCCGCGTCCCCTGCTTTGGCCATCCTCAGTTCAAGAAAACACCTTTGCAGGGAGCTATTTCCACAGTTTAGCACAGAAACCCACTCGGAATTTTCTTTTTTTCTTTTTAAATAAATTTTATTACTTGGATTTTTAAAAGATATTTACAGAAACAATACAAATGGAGACTCTCTTACCACAGGCTTCAAAACGCAACAAAATGTGTTGCACTCAAAAACGTAAGCAAGGAATAGCCACAAAATCACATTACCTGACTACATTTTTAAGTGAAGTATCTCATCCCCTCAGCAGTGCACTGGCGAAGCACTCAAACACTCATTTTGACTGTTAACTGTCAAATGACTGGCGGAGGGGGGGGATTGTCCAGGGCAGCAGAATCTTCACTAACCCAACCACTAATTACTATTTCAGAACTGAGAGTCTGCAATCAGCATACACTGAAACGAAGTTTAGACTTAACCCCACTGCCTTCATACCAAATTTGGCCCTGATGTGCTTGCAGAATCATCACCAAAAGCACACAAATCTTTATGCGCCTCTTTGAAACCTGACCTCAAACCTATATCTGAAGAACAATGGGAGAACTGGAAAATGCAACTCAATATCCAAATTCAGAAAGGCAGGAAATACTGTACTTCTTTAGACCTCAGATTAAATTAATAATAAAATATTATATGCAATTAATTAATTGCAATTAATGCAATTAAGATTCCTTAAATTGGGATTATCAGACTCAGGTAGGAGGCAGAGATGAAGAAGAAGAGTTGGTTCTTATAACCCACTTTTCACTACCCGAAGGAGTCTCAGAGCAGCTTACAATCGCCTTCCCTTCCTCTCCCCACAACAGACACCCTGAGAGGTGGGTGGGGCTGAGAGAGCTCTGAGAGAGCTCTGATTGGGCCAAGGTCACCCAGCAGGCTACACGTGGAGGAGGAGTGGGGAATCAAACCTGGTTCTCCAGACTGGAGTCTGCTGCTCTTAACCACCAAACTAAGATGTAAGCAGCCAAGAGCAAAGAGCAAATGAGAGCCAGTTTGGTGTAATGGTTAAGTGTGTGGACTCTAATCTGGGAGAACCGGGTTTGATTCCCCACTCCTCCACTTGCACCTGCTGATGTGACCTTGGGTCAGTCACAAGCTCTGGCACAGCTGTCCTTGAAAAAGAGCAGTTTCTGTCAGAGTTCTCTCAGCCCAACCTACCTCACAGGGTGTCTGTTGTGGGGAGGGGAAGGGAAAGGAGTTTGTAAGCCGCTCTGAGACTCCAAGTGAAGGGCGGGGTATAAATCCAATCTCTTCTTCTTCTCTCTTCTTCAAATTTGACACATGTTATGGGAATGTCCAATTATCACGTCAGAAGTTAATAGGCAAATTAATTTTATACTAGATTGTTCACTAGATTTTAATCCACTTACTGCAATACTGTGGGGCCATCCCTTCTTCCTGGAACCTCCTGAAAAGGACACAGGCTGTGGATAGTATGATCCTTGGAAACAGTTAAACAAATAGTTCTTCAAAAGGGGGAAGCAACAGCTACATCACACATTGGAATGCAGACTGAAGCCACCTTAAACCTCACAGTTAAAGAAAGGATTGCCTTTAACAGACAAGAAACAAATTTGAAATATGGCATTTGTTCTCAATTTGTGGAATTATTTGGCTATTAATGTGTGAGTATATTAAGGTGGATGCAGAATTGGGTCATCTGGTCGCTTTGGTACTGAACAGGATTCGGGGGGGGGGCGCGTCTCTAATAAGCCATAAGGGAGGGTTTTTCCCACCTGCTTATTCATTACACATTCCAAGAGATCTGATTAGTGTAGTAGACGGATAAGGGTCGGGACTGACGGGGGGGGGGGGGGCCGTTATGGGCAGACTTGCCCGTCTTCTGGCGGGCCACTTGCGGGTGGCCGCTCACACCCGAGTTAAGGCAATTTTAAAATAAGTGAATAAACAAAAATAATGGTCTTTGATTACTTTTTAAAACAGTCAAATACATATAAAAAGAAACAGAATTCTGGGTGGAAAGAGTTAGGCAGGAAAACTTGGCAATCACCCTGAGGCCATTACTGATGAAGGGCTTTTGCCTAAGCCAGCCACACACTGGCTGCATGGGGGGGGGCACGGGGGGAGGGGATCTTCCCTTGGGGCTGGGCAGCATGCGGCTGAACTAGGGCTGTTGTATAACAGATTTTGAGTACAGGGGCAGCTTTAAGACCAACAGGGGCAGTTTTAAGACCAACAAAAGTTTATTCATGGTATGAGCTTTCATGTGCATGCACACTTCCTCAGATACAGTGAAATGGAAGGGACCTGATGTTGGTAGGCAGAGAGTTCCACCAAGCCGAGCTATTGCCAAAAAGGCCTCGTTGAGGACAGCCAGACGCTCTTTGGGCCAGGGACTTCCAATAGATGTGGATCACTTGAGCACAGTGCTCTCCTCTACCAGGAGAGGCGGTCCTGTAGGTGTGCTGATCCCTGACCATCCAGGGCCTTAAAGGTCAAGACCAAAACCTTGAATCTGACCCGGTACTCGACTTGAAGCCAGTGCAGCTGGTGGAGCACAGGTTGTATGTGTGCTGTTCCTGGTGTCCCTGTAAGCACCTGGACGGCTGTATTCTGGACAAGCTGTAACTTCAGGGCCCTGCCATGAATATGGTTGAGGATGGCAATGGTTTTTAACAGCTATGGCTTCTTAACATCAGCTGGTTTTAACATCAATGGTCTGGTGGGCTGATCAGCTGCGAACAGAGGCTGGGTGCCCCAACTGCCCTCTACTCCCCCCCCCACTGTTAAAAGTACCGTTAAAGTAAACTGGTGGACTAAAATTATATTACAGCACTATGCGGGTTTTGGATATTTTAGAACTGTACTTTAGATTATTTATGATTTTATAATATATATTTTATAAAACTTTGCTGTACACCGCCCTGAGCCTGCTTGCGGGAGGGCAGTATAAAAGCCTAATTAAGTAAATAAATACATACATATATAAATAAATGCAGATGCCTCTACATAGGTGAACAGCAAATTAGCATACAACTTATGAAGATGTTTTGACAGATGCAAAGACTAAACAGCAATGACAAGCTAAGGTCATACAGTCACTATTAGTTTGGATTTAATTTGAGGGAAACAGTGAAGTAATAAATATGTCAAAATAGGAGACGGATGTGTAAAAGTATCCTTCTAAGAGCTGTATGGCATGGGAGGGATGTTGGTGCGGCTCAACACCTCTCAGCACAATTCTGTGCAGAAAATAACTCAGGGGCCACAAATATCCCTCCTCCTCCTCCATTAATAATAATAATAATAATAATAATAATAATAATAATAATAATAATAATAATAATGTAGTTATTGTCTGCCTCCTAAAAAAAGAGCTCTTTCAACTATTTTGAAGTCAGTTTTGAAATCAAAAGGTACTGGCATAGTAATCCAGTTGACTGAACAGTGCCATCCACTCCACAATTCACTTCCTACCATAGTCCTCATCTAAGAAAAAGTAATTTCTGCTGGAGATGCCCTCACACAAGCACATGTGCAGAGGTGCAAATGGCATGCCCACACAAACGCATTCCCACCATTTCCCACAGTTCCCATTTCTTTCAGTCGATCCTAGAGGGGAAGCCTTTTTGGTAGCTTGATTATTATAAGTCAGATCTATCTGTCTCTGATTCCACTCATTTTAACGCCCAACATGTGCCATCCAAGGCAGACAATGACGCAACGCATGCACAAAAACACCCTACACACACGCACGCATCCTTTAATCTTCTACAGGAAATCAAGCCACCATACAAACACGCTTAGCAGAGTGGGTCGCC